AGAGAGAGAGAGAGAGAGAGAGAGAGAGAGAGAGAGAGAATCCGGTATCAAAGGCCAAACATGAATAGCCCAACGATATGCAAAAAGTAATAAAATTCCAACCCAAATCAAATATGAAACACTGATGACGAGAAACGCATATTATGCAAAATTAAAATTAAAAAAGAAAAAAACAGAATATAGAAAATCAATTTCTTTAAGAGAATTCTCAGCAAGTGTTAATTATCAAAGTCAAATTTTGATATTACCCGCACATCACAGATGAATAATATAGTCATATACATAAATAAAAGAAAGAACAATTTCAATAGTAGAGAGAAAGAGCGAGGCTTATCAGCAATTTAGCTCACTGATTTGGGGTTTATCAGTGAGTTAACTCACTGATTTGGGTTTATCAGCAAAAATAGCAGGAAAAAAAATTAAATCACTGATTTAGGGTTTATCATTGTAATAAACAGGAAAAAAAATAAAAACTCACTGATTCGCAGGAAAAAAAATTTAAATCACTGATTTAGGGTTTATCATCGTAATAAACAGGAAAAAAAAATAACAACTCACTGATTCGTAGCTTCAATCTCTTCAAGCTCTGTGATAATGGCGATGGAGCGAGGGCGGCTGTGGGGGTCTTTCTCCTTCTTCAACCTCGGGTTTTCACAGGCTTCACGGACTTTCTCTTCTTCGAAAGGGAGGCACAGGTTTTTTAGGCCCCCCTCTTTCACTGAGAAGCTAGAAGATCTTTCTACTTGTAGTGAAAAATACTGTGTTTGGTAACTTTTCTAGAATTTAAAGGGAGCTGGGAAACCTGTGTTTGGTAGAAGTTATCAACTTGGAGACTAGGTAATTAACCAAGTTAATCCGTAAAAAATTTGTATTAGCGGTTGTATTAATTTACTATTTAGATCATCCACAATAGACCAGAGATCCTGTTGGGCAGTTTTTCCAAGCATTCATCATCTTCTTCTATATGTTAAAAAAAATAACAATCACCATGTGTTGGGGCAAAATTATGGATTCCTTAAATCCTGGATCAGCATGTGAAAATTCTTTTTTCTTGGTTTATCAGGTTTACATTCAGACGCATGAGGTAATTGCCATGGAACACAATATTTCCCTGTTAGTATAAAAAAAAAGAGTCAATATTAAGAAAGAAAAGAAGAAGAAATAAATGATTAACATAACCTTCTAAAACCACATGAATTAGTATTGAAGGAGCAAGTAACAGAGGAATTGGTATAGGTAGCCTTGCAAAGAGAAAATTATCAAAGAAACTAACCAACTTTTCAGTATATATTTCTCCAATTTAAAGGATTCTGCGCCATTGTCAGATACCTCAGTCTAGTGATCCTATGAGGTTCTACATTGCAGTTTTCCATGAGTATTACTGCTTGTGTCCATGTTACAAAATTCAAAAATCAAATTCATTATATAATTGAAGAAGGCCAAAATAATTGCGAGCCATGTACTCAACAGTAATGTCATGCTTTCCCATAAATTCAATTTCATTATCATAAAATTTAGCCTAATTCATTCATCAATGAATTCTCGTAAAACTGAGAAAAGCCCATTAAAATTTTAACATGTAAAACACAATAAAAATTCCTCAATCGTAAATCAGGAGAGAACAAATTGAAAATGGTCAGACCACAACCTTCTATATCCCTAGCTGCTTTCTTGGAAATCCATATGACTCTTCTCGAGAGAGAGAGAGAGTTTGGTAAGAACCAGGTGTCAATAAAAAGAGGGCTTAGGGCTTGCTTCCGTATCCCCAGCAACTTTCTTGAGCATCTAAACACTCTCTCTCTCTCTAGAGAGATTGGAAAGAACCTGGTGCCTTCTCTTTCTCTTTCTAATTTCTAGATTCAGGCCTCAAATCACTGCTTGTCATTGTGCGAGATCTTCAAATTAGTGTTTGTCTCACTGTGTGAGATCAGAGACGACAAAGAAGAGGAGGAGGGTCAAATAGAGGTTGGCTTGTTTAGGGTAAAGTTGAGAGGGAAGGGAGGAAAAAGAAAAAAGTTGACACAGACGTGCGGGAAAATAAAATAAAAAGAGGGTTAAGGCCGGGAAAAAAAAATTTCCCACAGCGTGTGATTCGTGCTTCCTGAGCATCGCTCTCCATGGGGTGGAGTGGATGGCCGCGATCCTAATTTTTGAGAATGATAAACTTCCAACAACTTAAAAAACGATTTAACCAAACTTGGAACTAAGGGCATGGGTTGGAATTTGGGATGCCTTGTGTCCCAAGTTCTTGTTGGCAAACGCGGAGTGAATAGTGAAAATGGGAAAACGAGTGTTCCGACTTTCCCTCATCTCAGCATTAGCAAACGGGTGAAATGAACAGTATGGGTAAAAGTACATCACTTTCACCCTTTACACGTTGATCAAACGCTACCTAAACTTTCCCTTAACCCCACGGGTAAAGGAGCTAGGATGTATTAGGTAAGCAACCAACGTAAAACTTTGTCAAAAGTTATCATGAATCCTGATCAAATTAGTTGAATCAACTGCACAAGAGCTATTAAAACTCAAACCCGTGAGTTCAGCCCCTTATATTTTTCTCTCTAATTTGTATGCAGATTAACGGAGGTGGTGTGAGGAAATTAAAGTTAGCAACGACATGGAGAGAGCTAGAGTGAGAAAGCAACCTAGTTATAGCTGGTTGAGTTTCAGAGCCAAGTTGTGGTGTTTGTGGCTGGGGACCAAGGGTATTCTCCAGCATAAGACATTAATGGTGCTATTTAATTTTTTTTTTTCTCTGCATTGTTTTCTTCTTTTTTTGATAAAGAGAAGGATCAAAAGAGTAGGGTTCTGCAACTTTTTATTTTGGGGATAGTGTAAAAGAAAGGGTATTCGCTGAGAGACAAAAGAGAGAGACAAGTGGATGAGCTAAAATGAGAGAAACAATTTTGACTGAGAAGCTGAATCCCGCAAATTCAACTCCAAGTTGCATTATTGGGGATTCAGATATTTAGGGGTTATTTGAATATTACAACAAATAATTTGGCCCTATCAAAAACATGGCATAGGAACTCAAAAAATTAAAATCATTATTGATTCTACATTATCCTCAAATACTAGGACATTAGGGTGCTATCAATCAGACCTTACAGTTTTCATCGATGAGAAGGTGACACATACTCCATGAAATTAATTTTTAAGTCATACCTCAGGCACAGAAGGTCTAACAAAATGGAAAGTTTAGATCACCAAAGAAAATGGAATAAAAATTCATAATGACCAGTCTAATATCTGGTTCCATCCAAATTCCATCTTCCAAAGAGGATTTATGTCTGTATAACATCCGAAAGATATTCATTGAACCTCAAATCAGGTGATGCAGTAAAAAATCTCAAATCATGGTATAATCAACCCACAAACATCATCCAAATAACATTCATTGATTCAATTGCAGGAAATATAGTAAAAAATCTCAAATCATGGTATAATCAACCCACAAACATCATCCAAACGACATTCATTGATTCAATTGCAGGGAATATAGTAAAAAATCTCAAATCATCGTATAATCAACCCACAAGCATATCACGTAGACATACTCATAGTTATTATAGCTGATACCATGATCCAAACAATCCACAAAAAAATTTCTTCCTTAACTATGCATTATTATGATTTATGAGAATTGAGGACAGTATGAATCACTAGCATGACCCGCACTTCATGAATTTCGTTAAAACTAGACAGAACCCAGCTAGACGATAAAATCTGAAAATACACCAAAACCGGAAACACCTGAAAATCACCAAAAGAAAATTGAATGAATTGATCAATTTTCGAATACCGGAAATAATCCAACCCAAGTTCCAATTCAATAGACATGAATCAAAACAGATTTTTTATTTATACTTTAACAAAATAAGGCCTCCAAGAAGTACTGCAATTAAAAGTTCAAAACTACTCAGAAATGCTACATCACTGTTAACAAACCGTAATGATCACCACAAAAAATAATATGTGATAATATGCAATGTAAACAAACTTTATGTATCATAAAGAGTCAAGCCACTGGACTATTGTAAAAGCCCTAGCTCATGAAAATCGCATAATACGTCAACACTTATTGTGAGATATTCTGGTTGTGTTGAATGTTAAAAATATATTTTCAGAAACAGGCTACCACTCGTGAATCACTCTAAACAACTGCAAAAATGCTATTTAATCAATGCAAATTATTGTAATGCTATTTAAATCACAGAAACTATATATGGGTGGGTTCATTGCTCCCTTATCGAACATTTACTGCAGATCACAGTAAAAATCACTGCAAAAAAAATGTTAAGTCACTGCAAAATCCGTGTAAAAATCACTACAAAACAGAAAAATAAAAATCATACCTGATGCTTGAGGATTTTGCTGGATCAAAAGCTTTCTGCCTTGATCAAACTGAAATTTCACAATCTTTAACCCACTATTCTTCAATTAGAAGTTTAGGGCTTTAAGAGACAGGCTTTCTTCCAAATGACTAGGGATTAGGTTCTTGTTTTGAGAGGTTTGGGAGATTTTAAGGTTTTTGGATAGAGAAAATTAGAGTTTTTTTTAGAAAGATATGGCTATAGCGTCCATGTCGGTCTCTAAGAGAGAAGCAGAGAGAGACAGGTCCTTGGTTAGCGAGAGAAAGAGTGGAGAGACATAGAGCCGGGTGGTCTGTCATCACAGCAGCGATAGAGATAGACGTCGGGGAAAACGGGAGCGGACAAATAACATGATAGATAACATTAATAGTGTCACCACTTTCCAACAATGGCCTATTAGCTCAGTTGGTTAGAGCGTCGTGCTAATAACGCGAAGGTCGCAGGTTCGAGACCTGCATGGGCCATAAACTTTTTGCTGATAATTTCTTATGTTCAATAGATTTTACTGATATATTTTTAATTTTTTCAATAATTTTTACTGATATATTTTTTTTGTTCAATAATTTTTACTGATATATTTTTTTTGTTCAATAATTTTTACTGATATATTTTTTTGTTCAATAATTTTTACTGATATATTTTGGTGATATATTTTTTTTTGTTCAATAAATTTTACTGATGTCTTTATTTTTTCAATAAATTTTACTGATATATTTTTTTGTTCAATAATTTTTTATGTTCAATAGATTTTACTGATATATTTTTTATTTTTTCAATAAATTTTACTGATATATTTTTTTTGTTCAATAATTTTTACTGATATATTTTTTTTGTTCAATAATTTTTACTGATATATTTTTGTGATATATATATATTTTTTTCAATAAATTTTACTGATATATTTTTTTGTTCAATAATTTTTACTGATATATTTTTTGTTCAATAATTTTTACTGATATATTTTTTTTGTTCAATAATTTTTACTGATAAATGTTTTTTGTTCAATAATTTTTACTGATATATTTTTCTTAAGAAAATTACGCTAATATCCGTTATAGCTTCCGTTATTACAGTTACACCAAATAATTTCTGTTATTACATCCTTGTCCGTTTTTTTTCATCTCATAACATAATTTTTTTTAAAAGATGACTTTATCCTTTTGAAATTTTACTGATATAGTTTTTTTTTGTTCAATAATTTTTACTGATATATTTTTTTTGTTCAATAATTTTTACTGATATATTTTTTTTGTTCAATAATTTTTACTGATATATTTTTTTTGTTCAATAATTTTTACAGATATATTTTTTGTGTCCAATAAATTTTATTGATATATTTTTTTGAGAAAATTACGCTAATATCCGTTATTGCGGTTACACCAAATAGTTTATGTTATTACATCCCTGTTCGTTTTCTTTCATCTCATAACATACTTTTTTTAAAAGATGACTTAACCCTTTCGAATTCGGATTTTCAACAACCGAAATTGTGCGATGCTCGTTTAAAATTCCTTGATCTATTTCTTTTGCTTCACCGGTTCAGGTATTTCTCATGCCCCCCCATCTGTCTCTTACCTTTCTAACAATCAAAACGGCATATTTAGATTGGATACAAATATTTTGATGGATCATAACTGCATTTGACGCATTTTGAGGGGTATTTGACGGATTTCTAATCTGTAGTGAAGGTATGTATAATCTGATTTCTTGTTTGATTTTTAGAAGTTATCATTGTATAAGATTATGATTTAGGGTTCATACTTGAGTAAAAGCGGTCGATTTAGGGTTTATTTGATGGATTTTACAGATTTTTTAATGACAATTCTTTAAGAACTGCAATTATTTGGGGTTTGTAATAACGGTAAATTTGTGGTTATTTTTAGTTATTGAATGTTATACATGAGTCATTGAGTTATGTTTCTTTTTTATTTATTGTTTAAGAATTTCTAAATTTGGGATTACTGAGGACTACAAATTTGGGGGTTTTATTAGAACTCGAAATGAATTAACCTACAATTTGAAATCAATAGCTTAATATAGCTAAATGTGTTGTTGGATGTTGCCTTTGTATTAGAAAATGTATAACTTATGCAATATTGGGTTTGCAATGTATAATTTGCAATTTGAAATGGGTAGTATATAGCTGAAAAATTTGGGGTTTATCTGTAGTTGAATGGGTTTGTATTTTGTGACTGTACATAAATGAATCCATTTGTAATTTGAAATCTGTAGCTTTAAATAGCACCCTATGTTATTGGATGTTGCATTTGTCTTTGAAAATGTATGAGTTATGCTATGTTGGACTTATAATTTGAAATGAGTAGGTTAATACAGATTGTTGGATGTTACTTTGTGTTGTTGTCTGTTTTTTGTTGTAATTAACATTTGGGTTATCATAAATGCAAAAAACAATAGTTGTTTTAATTATTTCCCTTTGAACCAATATCTTAGTTGTCTGAAACAGTGCCTCAGTTGTTGATTTCTTTGATTTCTCATAGCTGTATGAGCTTATAATGAATGGGTGTGGGATTTGTAAGTTGAAATTTCTTATGGCAAATACTTTGAATAGGTACATAGATGGTACAAAGATGAATAGGTACAAATATGGTGTAGAACACTGTTGTGGTTATCATATAAGAACAAAATTTTTGTATTCATTACTTGATGCCCATTCCATTGTTAGTGATATATGATTTTCTGATATATGGATTACATATGAGTTGCAAATGTGTTAGTAACTCCATTTATTGTTTGGCTTGCTATTTACTTTGAACATTTTGCAAATGCTTGTGAGTTTAGGAGTACATAGGTAATAAATAACTTTATGCATACTATATGTAAATATGAGTCGTATTTGATATGTAAATTTATTATCATATTCTTTTGTTAGAGTAGTATTCTATATGTAAATGCACGATGCAATTTTAAAATGCATGATGAGTTATTTTTGTCTCGATTTCAGTGAATATGAGTCGTGTCCATTCAGAGGGGGGATACCCATGAGGTCCTAAGGACCCTAGTTTGCTACAGCTTCACCCATAACATTCATCATATTTCATATGAGAAGGACATGTATATGCATATATTCATCTGTCATTTCCATTAGTTTGTTATTTTTGAATAAATTGTAGTTTGTTTCAACAACATATGGGAAATACATGTGTATATTTATTGTGACTCATATGTTTTCTAGTTATTGTATTCCAGGAAAAACATGAAATTATAATCATTGAAAAGACTTTTCAATTGAACGATTGGCATATAACCGATGACCAAGTTCAATTAGTGAACGTGTTTGCGTTGGGTGCTCTATCTATCATCCAACCAAGTTGAATTGATCATCCTTTGATCGCAGCCAATGCAGAGAGGTGGCGTTCCGAGATAAATTCATTCCATTACAACATTCAAATTGGTGAGATGACACCAACTTTATTTGATGTGCACGACATTTTAGGACTGGTTGTGGATGGCGAGCCTGTTACATGGTGTCCTATTAGTGACGTCTAAGAGTTCATAGAAAACATTTTGGGTATAGTCCCCACTGGAGGCAACCTGACAATCATTGAGCATTCATGGTTGAAGGAAAATTTTAGGGAATTGTCACCTGATGCATCCCCTTTGGAAGTACTCAGATATACTCGAGCCTATCTGCTCTTCCTCATCAGCGTTACCATTTTCACTGATGCTTCAATTGCAACAGTGCCAACGAGATACTTGCAATTCTTTGAAGATATTGAGGAAGCTGGAGATATGCTTGGGATACTGCAGCCCTTGCATTTCTTTATTGATCCCTTGGAAAGCTTGTACATTCAAGCGAAGATATTGTAATGGTTCAGCCACTCTTATGCATATGTAAATTTAATTTTTGTATAGACATAAGCATAATAGTTTAGATTACTTAGAAATAATATTTATTACTTATCATATATTTTACTTAAAAATAATATTTATTACTTATCATATCTTAATATAATGCAGTGTTGGTCTTATGAAAATATTATGCATATGAGGCCCATACCGCATAGTACCTCATATTGGACAAAAATCAGATGACCTCCAACCTAATGAGGTTAGTGTGTAATTTGATATTCATTACTTTCAATTGTATTAAAGTATTTGTAGTTTTTATTGTTGACTGATTGTCGTATGTGTGATTGCATATAATATAACAGGTAATATAGAATCCATATTGCAAGCCTGATGAGACCATTTCAGAAGGTAGGCATCCGGCATTCGAAACTGCAATGTGCATCACGACGTTTATCTTTGACGATATTACCGAGCCATACATGCCAGATCGTGTTTGCCGGCAATTTGGAGCTAAACAATGCATTCCAATAAATCTAACTTCTTTTGGTGAGAGGTCTAGCAAACATGTTGGGCAACAAGATTGACGAAATGTCAATTCAGACAAAATTCATAATTGGTTGTCTCGCATGATTAAATGATAACAGACATTGAAATCGATACTGCCAATGGGTTGCCCTCAGAAAAGTACAAGGCATGGTACAGCCGAGTGTCCCATCCTATAATAATAATATCTCTAATCCACCAAAAGACTTATTGCAACCTCAGGACCATGAAGAAGAAGAGGTGATTCTTGCACGCGAACCACAGTATATTATGAGACATCGAGGATATGCGGATCAGTTGGTATGTTTATATTAACCTAGAAATTGTTTTCATTTTGTACTTGCTTATCAGTTGGTATGTTTATATTAACCTACAATTTGTTTTTACAGATTAGGGCAGTTCAAGCCAGTACAACCATGCTAGCAGAGGCACTTACACTTAGACAGAAGTGGTATCCTGAAGTTTATAATCGCATTAACAACGTGTTTGAAATGTTGTTTATATTTGTGCCTGTCGACATGGTTGTAGAAGCCAGGATGGAAATTTTACAACGTCAAGTTAATGACGAAGTTGTACAAGAAGATGGTGAACAAGATGTAGTGGGTGAAAGTAGTCGGCATGCATAAGACTTGGCTCCATCCACATAGCCTACAGTTGAGGAGCCTAGAAAACATAACACACGAAAGAAACAGTATCAACCAAAGAGAAGGAGGCCAATGTAAATGTCTTATTTGGCAATGTAACGGTCATTAAATACATTTGTAATATATTGAATACATTTGTAATGTTATAAAAAGATAATGTATTAGTCATTGAATACATTTGGTAATCCATTTTGGACTGCTTCATCGTTCCTTGTGATCAGATTCATAAGTAATTGAATGAGTTTGCACCAGCATTGCTAAATATATTTCAAAATTCCATTCCGAGGTGACTTTCATACTTATGCTGAAATTAA